TCTTTAAATATATTTTTTGAGATTTCAAACCTGAATTGAGCCTTGATTGCTACCCTATTGAATTTTTCTATTAGCTTGTAATTGTCGTGGATAATACCACACAAAGAAAGTAATCAAACTACATTGCTTGCTTGTTGAATGGTCTTGTATTAGCAGTTGAGTTCAGAAATACATTGTGCTAACGTATGTGAAATGCCTGTTTGTTTGTATAAAGAAAATTAAGCTATCTTAGGAACGACACAAAGTAAAGATTATAGGTGAAAGTCAGGGTATCAAGTTAGCGGGAAAGAAAGATGGATTTACATCCTGTGTTGTACTCAAAATCATGGTTTACAGCAAACAAACCTTTATGTGATTCTGTGCGATAACGTAACGATTAGAGTGTTGTCGGTTCAGAAAATTAAGTGTAATCATAAATAGAAGCAGTTAAGTAGAAAGTCAATCACTAGCCCCTGATACTCACTTATTCGATTTCAAATCAGCTAATTCACAACTTATATAATAGATTAATGAATTTAGTGAACAACCGGAAAAGTTATATAATAGATTATATAGCATAGCATATAATTGTTGGAAAGAATAGAAGACAAGATGAATTATCGAAGAAGCTATTTTTCATTAAAGCTATTCTCCCTCTATTTATACAAATTAAAAGGGAGCATTTCCCTCAACAGAGTAAAGAAATTTTTTCATACAGTTAGGGAAATCTTATCAGAGTAGAAAGATTTACTCATATAGTTAGGAATATCTTATCTGCCATCATGCCCCCGCAAGATGGTGCTCCTATCAAGGATACAAATCTTGGATCGATATAAAGCAAACAATTTACAAGCGAGAAGCTTCATGAGTAGGGTAAGTGCAAATCGCTGCTGCTGCTGCGGCTGCAACGGCAATAGCTACGGCTGCTACGAAAGCTGCAATAGAGGAGAAAGCTGCAGTGATGCTATAATGATGCTACAGCAAAGGAGGAAGTTGTAGTAGAGGAGGAAGCTTTAGCAGAAGAGAAAGCTGCAGTAGAGGAGGAAGCTATAGCGATGCTGTAGTAGAGGAGGTAGCTACAGCGATGCTATAGCAAAGGAGAAAGCTGCAGCGATGCTACAGCAAAGGAGGAAGCTGGAGTAGAGGAGGTAGGTGTAGCAAAAAAGGAAGCTGCAGTAGAGGAGGTAGCTGTAGCGATGCTACAACAGAGGAGAAAGCTATAGCGATGCTACAGCAGAGGAGGTAGCTATAGTAGAGGAGGAAGTTGTAGTAAAGGAGAAAGCTACAGCAGAGGTGCAGTAGAGGAGGTAGCTATAGCAAATGAGGAAGATACAGTAAGAGGAGAAGCTGCAGTAGGAGGAAGCTGTAGTAGAGGAGGAAGCTGTAACGATGCTGCAACATAGGAGGAAGCTGCAACGATACTGCAGCAAAGGAGGAAGCTAAGGAGAAGGAGAGAGTGTGGATCCTGAGGAGAAGGACTGGATGATATTATGGGAGAACCCAATTGCCATATCTTTCTATCGCTACATCTTGTCGCCAAACACCTATGCTGCACTGCAACAACCCCCTAAGCGTGACCTCTACCTCTAACAACTACAGCGATATTGGTCTTGCTACCATCATTTTCTGTGGCAACTGTAGCATCTCCTTGGTGAACAGCACCTGTCTTCTCCCACTACCACTCTACGCCAACACCTCACCTATTGCTTTTGATGTTGTGCCAAAATCCACTACATCACTCGGGTCTTCTCTACTCATCTTCTCCTACTTCGTTGATTTTAGATCTCTATAGTTTTTCCTTTCGCTACTTCATATCACATCCTTCACCACCATTGTCTCTCACTAGAGGCTGTCACTACTTGCTCTTAACCCCATTGCTGCCCATCACTATCATCGTTGTAGCAACAACAGCATCCAACGATAGTAATCCAAAACTTCTATAAACCAAGTAGATAGCTTTCCAGTGAAGTCGAAGTTCTCAAAGAGCACATCAACGCCCCCACCTTCTTCCTGTAGAGGCAGAGCTGAACCTTCTCCCTCAATCTCACTCGTGGCCACGTAGAAATCCGTCGGCAAAAAACCATTGCCGATCGATCGCTCTGCGCCCGTAGCATCGTCGGCTTCTCCCAAAGTGGGACTGCGGCCGCAGCATCACCGACTTCTCCCAAAATCGTAAGTTGTCAGACATCAACTACGTGTTTCTCACGTACATACGAGTGATCAACTAGCAGACTTCCTCACAAAGCCTCTCACCCGTAACTTACTTTCATTACATCGGTCCAAGATCGGAGTCCTTGACAAAAGCACCATCTTGCGGGGGCATGATAACAGTCAAGATCTCCCGTGATAACAACCTCAATAATAGTCAAGATCTCTCCAACTCTATTGAGGAGATGTCATAAATCTATTGAGGAAAATCCTCCTCTATTGAGGAAAATTCTCTCTTCTAACATATATAAATAGGGAGTATTGTATTGTTTCAACTCAATTCAATCTTCTTCTTTGTATTTCATTTCTATTATGGTATCAGAGCTATTCCTGCCTTAGGAAGCTCTACTCTTTCTTCGAGATCCTATTCTCGTTGGAGCGAGGCATGTCTTCTACGCCTGACCTCCGATGAATCCCATCACCATGAACCTAGTTGCCATATCTTTCTGTCGCTACATCTTGTCGCCAAACACCTATGCTACACTGTAACAGCCCCCTAGGTGTGACCTCTACCTCTGGTGACTGCAGCGATATTGGTCCCGCTACCATCATTTTCTATGGGAACTACAACATCTCCTCGGCAAACAGTACATGTCTTCTCCCACTACCACTCTGCACCGGCGTCTCACCTGTTGCTGCTGATGCTGTGCCAAAATATGCTACATCACTCGAGTCTTCTCTGCTCATCTTCCCCTGCTTCGTTGATTTTAGATCTCTACAGTTTTTCCTCTTGCTACTTCAGATCACATCCTTCACCACCGTTGTCTCTCATCATAGACTGTCACTACTTGCTCTTAACCCCATTACTGCCCGTCACTATCGTCGCTGCAGCAACAACAACATCCAACGACAGTAATCCAAAACTTCTACAAACCAAGTAGACAGCTTTCCGGTGAAGTCAAAGTTCTCAAAGAGCACATCAATGCCCCCACCTTCTTCCTATAGAGGCAGAGCCGAACCTTCTCCCTCGATCTTACTCGTGGCCGCGTAGAAGTCCATCGGTAGAAAACCATTATTGATCGGCCGCTCTGCGCCCATAGCATCGTCGACTTCTCCCAAAGTGGGACTACGCCCATAGCATCACTGGCTTCTCCCAAAACTGCAAGTTGCAGCATCTCACAAACCTGCAAGCTGCAGCATCTCACAGACCTGCAAGCTGTAGCACGTTCAGTGGTAGTGGTGCCGCTGTTGCTGCAGTCGTTGTTGCTTGCGACAACATCAACAACTACAGCTGCATCATGAATAGTGGTAGCATGGAGCTCATTGCTTGCTTGCCATTAATGCCTCAATGAAGACTTGTCAAGGTGCAGCATCATATGACAAATACAAGAAGACCTTTTGCTTGGAAGGTTGGCAAGTGATCGGTACAGGAGGCCTCCTCGTAGCAGAATAAAACTACTTTTCCTTCGAGAAGTATAACTCCTCGCACTTAATCGTAGTAGTTTTTTTTACCTATCTAATCATTGCAGACTCCCACCTTGCTCCCTTAGATTGGTATATATGCCTAACATGTCCTTATCATCTATATATGATGTTCCAATTACTATTCTTGTAGGAAACCACAATACCTTTTCCTCTTTGGGCCTTATTTCTATCAATGCTGTCACTCTCATCCCATTCAAAGTATCCAAAGGTGGCAACTACGCATCATGGTGTGCTCAATTCTCTAATCTACTATTTGGCTATGATCTTTTAGGCTTTATCGATGGCTCTCTTTGTTGTCCACCGGCGATGCTCAATATCCCAAGCGCATCTAGTCTAGTAGCAAATCCGGACCATAAACTATGGTTACGCTAGGATTGTCTCATCCTTTAAGCAATTCAAGTCGGTCGCTGGATCCCTCGCCCCACTCATTTCTTCATGTGACACTACTGTCGAAGCTTAGTGCAAGTTGTAAACCACCCTGGCCAATCGTTCCCTCACTCGCATGCTTAGTCTCCTATCCAGTCTAATGAAGATAAAATAAAAGGGAAGTATTGTTATTGATTATCTACATAACATAAAGATTATCATCGATAACTTAGCCTTGATAGGTCATTCCCTCAATGATTAAGAAGTTACTGTCCATATCCTCAACGGCCTAGGAGACGAGTACAAGGAATTAGCAGCAGTAATATGGGCACGTGATTCACCAATGTCATTTGAAGAACACTATGACAAATTGACTGACTATGAGATATATCTCAAGTATGAGGACAAGTTGCTAAGACCATCCATCATAGCTTAAGTCAGTCAAAAATCTAAGAAAAAGAGCAACAGGTACAACAAGGGTTCCAAACAAACCTCCCCTCCTCAACCTTCTCAACATTTTAATTGCAACCATCAAGGTGGCTACTTCAATTATCCTCATCCCTGGAGTCCTGATCACACAAATCAATAAAGGGTTGTCTGCCAGCTATGTGACAAAGTTGGCTACTCTACAAAAGTCTGTAGAACTCGACCCAGACTTCCTCCTCCGTCGCATTGGCCTCACGCAAATCTTACAACTACTTCGGCTACTGGTGATCAAAATTGGATTGTGAACTCTGGCGTATCT